TGCTATGAACATATCTTCAGCTCGAATTCCCTACCAGGGCGTTGCGAGTGCTGAAGTACTCTTAAAATCCTGCCGTTTCCTAGCAGCGTCGCCTTCTGTAGTTCATTCACCTTGATTGCTTCATCAGTTGACTTTAGTAAATGCTGATATTTTTTCACCGCTCTCATGCATTGGTTACCACGAGAATTGCTTTCGTCTTTATTCTCCGTATCTTTATTATGTTTGTCTTTGGTTCTTCATATTTCAGTGACTTTTTTTACCATAGGCTCTTTTCTTTTTCCTTGGTATCAGCTTATCAGCTAAACATGCTAGACTAGTTCACTGCTTGGTTTTGCTCAGGTATTAGAAGAGTTTCCATTTCGCAATCGAGGTCACTTCTTGATTGCCAGTTTGAAAGACTGATGGTCAACTGTCTTCACACAGTTGACGAAGATGATTGCCATAAACCTCTGTAGTCTTCCAGCCATTGCATCTAGTGGTCTTACATTTCTCTGACGGTCTCCACATTGCTGGATATTCTGTTCTAGCTTGAATAGTCCCGTTAGTCTTTGCGGCCGTCAACACCGTTGCGTTCACTGCTGAAGCTGGGTTCTGCTTTATGGATTATGGCTCCATTTCCACTGTATCTCTAACCAGTACCAATAATCGAGACCCTACTACGTAGTGCGGCAATAAACTTTACACAGCTTGTCTTTAATTGGCTGAAAAACGTTTGATTCAGTTATTGATGCTTATGTAGATATGCAATGAGGAACTGTTTGGTGAATTGAGCGAAGAAAAATCGGTCGAAAAGATTACGCGTACCGTAAGAGAGGCGAGAGAGTCAAAAAGTGCGGTTACCTATGCAGTTCTTGGTCGTTTCATTATGCAGGATGATCTTAAATCGATTGTGGAGCCGCTTAAAGAGGTGTATAGTTTCCTCATGATAATAAACGTTTAACTTCGAATATTATCTTTGTTTAGATTCTGAAGTCCAGGCATGACACGAAAACCGTCAACGTTGTTTATGCTGCGTTACATCAGTTCGTCGACGGTGTGATTATGAATCAGGCGCTCAGCATTGAAGCATTGCTCATCTTTTCTCATCAGATGTTATCTGAGGGCTTGCAGCTGTTGAATGAATCGTGAGTTTATTATTGTTAATCGGGTTGAAACATCATACTCTTATGCCATTCCACCGAACATAAATGCATTTTAGAATGTCTGCCTTCATGAACAATAGTTGTTGGTTGGGAACGTCAACGATTATTTGATAAGCTTTGTCAAATATGATGAACTCTCATTGTTCTCAACATTACCAGGACGAATTAGATTCGGCAGATTTATTATCTCATTAGTTGCAAGCAATATTTATGGACATTGTGCCCATGACAAAACAAAATTCAGATATACTGCAGGATTTGAAATCAGCAGCTAGTCGAGGGTTACCTGTTTCCTGTAGTGAATTTACGGCCTTTCACCTAATTTTAAGGCTTATTAGCTTAACTTTTGTCTTTCAAGACATCTGGAACCGAAGACTTGAAATTGTGACATCTACGATGTCCGGATCAGTGAACATCTCAAGAAGGCAGTAGAGTGGAGGCCTACTTACCTGAAATTTAAGCAGATCGAAGAAACGTGTTTCAGTCACGTCAAATCCAACTTCGTTGATCCCTTCAGGTCGCGTAGACCGTTACTCCATCATTAGCGATCCTTTGACAACGTTTCATTTTCTGCAGAAGATAACCAGAGCCTGGAGGGAAGTCCTTGTACACATCTGCTTCACGTTATTCATGACACTAAACTTAGTCATCGTCTGGTCGGTTAGACAAGTTGTAGCTGTTTTGTCTTCGTTCTGTACGCACAATAGGTTTCTCAACTATCGTAAGTGTGACTTCGACTCAGTCTGGAAAAACAGCACCTGTTGACAAAGACTCTTCCAAAACATGTCAAGAAGCGTAAGGTCAGTGACTCGCCTCAGAATGCCCATTTGAACCGCTTTTACCCGGGATCAAAGATTTTCACCGACACTCCACGATTCATGATCGTAGGTAATCATGGGAATGAAGATCGACTGGAACACTGATAGCTTAGTCTTCAGGTTCAGCTGTACTTTATCACAACAGTTTAGGCTAATTCACGCAGAACGCCACTGGCTACTCCAATTTTCCGGTCGAACTCTTCCTCAAATTTTCCATCACTAGTAAATACAGTTCCGAGGTACTTGAACTTCTTCACCTGCTCCACTGTCTCTCCGTTAATCTGAAGAGACCAACGGGCAGGAGAACGAGAAAGCACCAGGCTTTTCGTTTTGGATGAGTTCACACGCTTGCCGGTCACGTCGCACTCGACTGCGAACCTTTCCAGGGAGCAGTGTGATCAGTTTCAAAAGATGGCAATAAAATAAGGTCGTCTGCCAAAAGAAGCCTTGTTTTTTCGACATCTACATTTCTTACATCTCGATGATACACCCATCGCGCTGGCTGCGCCTGACTAATCTATCCATGTACAACGCAAACGCTAACACTGGCGGGGACCAGTGCCAGCGCTAAAGAGGGTTTGACTTAATGCCATTTTCTCTGACACAGCACCTGATTTTAACGTATAGTGATCAGGCCATCGATCCAATATTTTCCCAGGCACTCCACAGCCTCCTGCGCAGGATCAAGGCGTAGGATTGCTCCAGCTCCACAAAACACATGTAAACGGGATCAGCGAAATCTCATGATTTCTTACCAGTCTCGTGCAAGACAAAGTTACAGTTAGAGTTGCTTCGCCTAATTTGAAGCCACACTGCTGATATTAGATCTTCGAGTGATTTATTCCGCAGCTTCTCCTTTCCAACATCTTTGCGTATCATTTTCTCGAGAAGTTTCTTAAGCTAATGCCCTTACAATTAAAGCAGTCCATATAGTCTCCCATTTTGAACAGGCGTACTACAGACGCCGTTCTCCAGTCCACTGATGTCTTTACTATTGCAGTTTTAAAGATATTTGTTATCCACAACATGCCTTTTCTTCCTTAAGTTTAGGAATATCAATGCAAATTTCCTCGATTCTAGTAACCTTGCCACGCCACGTTTCAAGCTTTTTACAGCTTCTTCGACTTCACCTGTTGAAAGAACTAACATCCGTTGACTGTTGTTCTTCACGTGAGTTATCGTGCGGTTGCTCGGGGTTAAGGAGTTCCTCGAAGTACTCTTTCCATCGAAGATGTGTATCATTTTCGTTGGTAAGAAGGCGCCCGCATCTGTCCTTCAGGACTAGCCTTATTTATCATCTAGAAATTTCACTCCGGCACTTCATCGAACGTTTCCAGGAAGTCAGCTGTAGCTTTCGCTACGGCCACCTTGCATGCTTCTTTCCACTTCGTCCAAGTGGAAGAATGTTTGCTTCCAAGCCAACTCTTAAGGGTAACCTTCTTTTTATTCATTGCCAGTTTGACCATTGTTGTATGCCAAGAAGCTTTTTGACTCTAATCCTGCAGGCAACCCCGTTCTAAACTGCAGCATTCAACGCACGTCCCTGAGTAAGCCGCTCTTAAAGAGTTTCCACTCGGTTTCCACGTCAGCGGTCATTGCCGGGCTGTTCAAACCGTCTTGCGATGTTGTTTGCAAATTTCGCTCTCGTGTCGACCGAAAACAGTGTTTCCCATTTGACCCTCAGGTTGCTTCTGCCACCAGTTCTTCGTATGGTACTCCATTTCTTGCAGAACAGCGTGCCAACAACATGGTGGTGATTGGTTGATAGCTCTGCGCCTTTTTTAGCGCGAACATCCATTACTGAGTGTCTTAAGTCAGACGACACGATTATCAAATCAATCATCGACTTTTGTGCACAGGCTTGCATGTACCAGCTCTACTGATGCACGCTTCAGTGCTCGAGGAAGGTGGAGTCAGTTACATGGAGTCAGTTGTTCGCACAAACTTGCAATAACTTAATGCCGTTTTCATTAAGGTCACTAAGTCCGTTCTTTTAAATCACGTCTTGCCACTTCTGTATGTTTGCTCTGACATGCGCATTAAAATCGCCAGTGAGTATGGGGGTCTTCGTCTTCGGCACTTCGTACAGAGCACACTACTCCTCCTCAAGGGAGGAATCATATTCTCCCTTTAAATTGGACTTGTAACAAGGTCAACTCTTTAGCCTGTTGTAGTTTCAGTCAGAAGATTGCCACTATTCCGCTGATGTACTGACAGGCATTCAGTGATTCTGTCAGACATGTTCAGTTCTACGAGAACACCAATACCGGCGTAAGCGCGCGCTTCCACTTGCAGAAGTTCAGGATTTCAGAGCCTTGATGCTTCGTAGACGAGAGTCCAACTATGTTGAGATAGTCCCTTACGGCCTCATTAACTAACTCTTGCTCTTTTCCTCTGAGCGAGGATACCTTCCAGTTTCCGGTTGTACTCCCACTGGCGGTGTCGTTTCTTGTTGAGCCTTTTCTGACGTGCTATATCGACACCGCGCTATCTGGCTCCTCGGTTCAGAACGGGTGGAGACTCGGTTGCTGATTGATATCTTCGTCGTTGATTCTTCGAACTTCCTCAGCCGTTGTTGTGCTCCTACAGCCCCGGCTGCCAGAAAGCTGGGGGCAGTATCTCCACCGACTTTTTGCAGTCTGCCTGCACGGCTTGTAAAAGGTTTTCCCAGCTGGCTGACATCTGTTAGCAGTAGTAGCATGATGATGATATTGGTGTGTTTTACTGTTGACCTCCCCACAGTTTCTGACGGTACCCCTTCTCACCCGGGCTTAGGACCGGCAACGCTGTTGAGCTGTGCAAATACGAAATATTAGAAATATCCAATACGATATCTGTGGGTGAATGTGATGCGGAATTTCGAAAGATCCTTTATAGGAGCACCATTTACCATATTTGATTAGTGGATATTCTCTAATTTTGCGATCATAATGGATCCAGCTTCAGAGAGAGACATGATGTAAACTCTTCAGAGACTTGACTGTATGGATAGCAAATGCACTATAGGGGAAGCGTCGGTAGGTTTTTCGTTGATGCTTCCTAACTGATTTACATTGCATTCACAAGCAGCACATATCAGTATTTTTATGTCATTCGAACCGAACAACCTGCGTGGAGAATGGCATCGCTAGAACTCTAAGCAGCAAACGTTTCTATGTGATCTTGAACGAGTTGATATCCAGCAGGAACTCACTTCTAGGAGAAACAGCCGTGAAAAGCTGATTAGCGATAGCAGCAGTAGAACTGAACAAGCGAAATTCAGCATTAGTACTATTATTTCATGGTGTAACATCAAAGCGAGAAGTTGCGGAGTATGACCAGAGAGCGTTGGTCAAGGTGATATTCGAATTTAAGAAACATTGCAGACGCATCGATTGCATGTCGGAATCACTGGGTCAAAATCTAAGCAAAGATAGATCTACTCTCGGGTACATAGCGTAAACCGGCAAAACCATGGAAAAGAGGAAGGAGCAGCACCTCATTAACCTGAAAAGATGCTGCAACGCCGATATGCGTCAGAATCGACAAGCACTGAAAGCGAAACCTTATAAAGATAAGTCGGTGATTCTCTGGTGGTGAATAGTGAGTACGAAAAGAATTCAGCTGCTCTGGAATATGATTGTAAAAATGACGCTGCACGTTATGGGACCATAATAGGAATACATCGAGAGAAATCTAAAGATAATGAAAGTCTTGGTAATTCAATCTAACCAATGCATGGATAGAAACGTTTGTATGAAACAGTTCGCATTGGAAGGAAATTATGAAGCATCTTCTATTATTGTGACTGAAACCTCCGTGATGAAGCTGATATCCTGCTACAAATGTACACTTATTATTCTCTGTTTTATGTTATGTCTCTAACTCTCTGTCTGAAAAACGATGCGGCCTGATCCAAAACGTCTGAGATTATTTTTTAATAAAATCGATGTGCGGTGTCATTCCCTAGTGCATCTTTCAAATTCTGAAATTCGGTCTTACCTGAAATGTGCTATTGAATACTGCTCAGTGGATTTAATTGAGAGTTTTACGAAATATATCTTTAGTATAGTAAATGAAGGAAATGAAAACATCATCATTTCTCTATTTGAAGCTCGTTCGCGTATATATTTTTAAGTCACAGCTCCATTCATGCGATAAAGTCCTAGATGTTCATTTTCTCTATTAAAGAAGTCGCTTTTTCGACAAGTGCTCTCCTTATTATAAATATATCCCCCTTTTGTTTTTAGTATTTTGTCATTCACCATCCTTGAATCACCAGATTGTGTTTCTTACATGAGAGACTTCCTTCACGCGACTTATTTGCATTGCAGCAAACCACAGCTTTGGAACATCTTATTTTGCGGGCACTTGACCTTTAATCCAGATTTTTTCTTTGCATCACGCAATGTACATTTTTCAGTACCATTTTAAGGTTTATATGACTGAATACCGCAGTCGTTTCTACTAAATTCAAAATTATTTAGTACAAGTGGCATTTGCAGTAAATTTAGTCAAATGACACTCAAAATATGAAAAACTTCGATAATGCTTCAACGAATGAAAAGATAAAACTGAACGGTTTTCACGCATATCTCACGCGAGATCAGAAATATGTCCAAAGTGCATTTGAGCTCAAGTCCTGTTCAGCGGAAATCAAACTCAGCACTTGTTTATTTGTATGCTTTGAGAGACAGAAAGGATCCTTAAATATTGCATCAGTGAAATGTGCTACAGGAATTCGTAAATCGTTTTTGCTATTTTGTTTCCATGTTGGAGTCACTTTAGTATGGAAGGCAAATCTGATTCTTGACAAGCACAATTTGCCGTGTTATGGCAGTATGTAACTTCTTGGGCTAATAACCTACAAGCTTTAGACCGCGAAGCAATAATCATGCAAATGATGGAGAAATCCGTCCTGTCATCATTAGCACGTATATCGTACCGGCGGAGCCACGAAGAACTGGTGAAATTCCTAAACAGTCTATCAAAACCAGTCTGCATGTGTTGGTTCGATTCGCGTTGGAGATTTTTCACCTCACATATCGCAAGAAGAATCTTCAGAAAACGGAAACCATGTATCTCGCCATGCTTGATCCGTTTGTTTCGCTCTTCGTCGATGGCTTAAGGTCAAAATATCCTAATGTAGCTACAGCTGTTCAGGTGATCGTTGTCTGACGCGTTCGTTTCAGATCATTTCCATGTCGCTTCGCTGCTTACAATGCATCATTAAATCTTCCCTACCTTCCTTGACAAAAGCAATGCCATCAATTGTGGAGTGTCTGCTTGATTTGTTGAAAAAGTATGGCACTCTTGCCGTGGATTCGAAAGGCGAAACATTAGAGTTATTAATCGTTTTGTTCAAGGCTAGTATTGCTTTTGGCTGTGGTTTCGAATGCGACGTTGAGATTTTTTGTAGGTCGTCACCGTCACCGTGCTCTCGGTTGATTACTATGAATTTAATGACGACCAGCTGCAGCTGTTGCTGCGTTATGCAGAAGAAGACCTCTACGAATCTCAGAGACAGGCTTCTGCCTTCTCTTTGATAAAGGTACGTTTGTTTTTCTCTCTCTCGCAAATTTAATGTTCAAGATTTTCAAGCTTAATCGTACTTCCATACATATAGTAAATTTTTCCTATTGTCTGAATGCGATTCGAAATTAAGAGGTCTTTTATTTGGCTGTTTACTTATAACAGTTATACCCACAAAGAAAATGCATCGACGAAGGTTCTTATACTTAATCGACTTTTCGAACAGTAACCATATTTCCATTGTTCATGAATGTTGTATCAAAAATCCTGATGAGAATATAAAGAAGTCGCAATATCAGAAATGCTTAGACTAATTAGATGTTCCTATTACGATCGATTGCAAGTTATGAATGCACCAAGGACGCTATGAACGCACTTCCAATGAGACATTCAAAATGTTGTTTTACTGGCGACTCATGAATTTCTTTATATAACCTGAATGTAACTGGATCAACTTGACTATTGGTTCTCACTTCTGTAAAACACGCCAAAACTGGCATCGCGGTCGTTTGATGATTTTATGGGAAGAAACGGCAAGTGTCGGGAACAAATTTTATTGAAAAGCTTGAAACCAGAATAGTGATCGACATGGAAATCACGACAACGCCGGGCAGGTGACTTGTTTACCCGGATTCGGCTAACCATCACTTGCTCCACTATTGTCGCCCTATATCGAAAGATGTGGTTGGAACGTTCTGACCAGATAGTAGCAGTTGATGAAAATGAATTTTAAGTTAATAAAAAGAACAGGAATATTACTATTTCTCCATGATGATGTTTAGAACCTTCCTGAAAATCTTTAACCTCTGATTCGGTCTTGGTAAATTGCTTCTGACATGCGATAATGAAGTTATTTAAATTTACAATCTACTTCAAAGGAAATGTTGTGATTAACATAGTTAAAGACAAATCCATCTGTCGTTTTCGAATGACTGTTTTGCCTATGTGTAAAATGAATTTCTCCTATTTCTTCAAAATCTGTTTCGCTGCAGTTTTAAAGCGCCTGTGGTCCTTAGCATCTTATTCTTTGTTCGTGGCAGCCCTCTGGCCTAAGTTTGGCTAAGAAAACACAGAGATGCGATAGCTGTTCCCTCGCATCGACATTTCATCCTCATTCGTTGATAACGAAGCGATGATGAAGAAATTACCTCAGCCGTGGAAGCTGATTCGCTCACGGCACACGACCAGATAAGCAACGACCTGCGTTTAACATATGATTGGCCATCTGGCGCCCGACTCAGAACAAACCGTTAACTTTAACACTCATTTTTCTTTGGCAATGATGAACGCTTTAGAAGTGGGCCATCTCTGTGTACTGCTAGATTGATGCCGAAGTATGTAACTACTGAAATAAGCCTTTTCGTTATTGAACCATAGTGGAGTGTCACTAGACATAAACAGCACCCATTTCAAGAAAATGATAGTCAGTTGCTTGTCAAAAAAATATAATTATATGTTGCATTGTGCTAGTTTATATACGCAGACAAGTCAAAGGTTCC